CTGGTTCTATATGGGAAGTACAACTAAGAATACTGGCAGGATTTAACATTGCAAGTTACAACAGTGCACAGCTGAATTATTTTGTCACTTCATTTTATTCCACACATTTGACAGTAGTCAGAAAGGAATGAGCTCCACAATGACACAGGAGAAAACTCTGGCTCTACCAGACTATGTGAAAACTTGTAAAAAATGTGGGTAAAAATTATTTCAGAAAAAAAAAAAAAAGAAAGAATTCAGATGACTACACCATTTGAGTTTGTATGGTGTAAACAAAGCAGACAGCAATACCAATTAAGGAAAAAATTACAAAATTCTTGAGATGCTTGATCCTCTAGTTTAAGCCATAGCTCTTGCCCTTTTTGCTTGTAGTCATGGCGTGTGTAAACACAGTACAATTCAGTACGAATTACCAGACCAACCTCTAAAATATCTGCTGCGCCTTGACACCCCACCAAAACAGTGTCACTTGTGGACCATGGAGCAGGATAGTTGGATTCTTACATCTGCGTCCCACCCTGGCTGCTTAAAGGAGAATTTCAACAGTGAGAGCTCTGCACTCACTCAGATGCTTCCAGGACCTGACACTGTATTACTGTCCTGTGCCACAGAGATAAGATAGTTCAGAGTTAGTATCTGTCTGTTATTTCCTGTAGGTTCTTGGTTTGACTTGATCTGTAATATATTCCCTTAATTCCTATTGCTTCTCTAGCCATTTTTAGAAAAGCAAATATTACAGAACCCTTAATGTATGTAAATGCATGAGACAAAAATAGAAATAGGGAAAATGAAGTCAGCAAATTCATGCAAATAAGGCAAATAGTGTTAGAAGATTAAAACATGCAAGTGCAGGTAAGTAACTGAAAATGAACAAGTGCCTAGGGCAGCTTGCAAAGGTGTCCTAATCATAAGATATCAAATTGTTTTTCTTATCCTTCAGTGCTGTTCAAAGAATTTTTCCCCACCTTTTTTTCTTTATGCCTCTTTAAGAAAGAGCCTTATTCTTACAACCGTATGCTCTTAAACAAAAAGATGATGAAGTTCAATGGCAGATATATTTAGATTGAGAAATAGTCTATTAGAATTTCCACAAAGTGAAAAAACATTTTTACCTGTATGTATGTATCTACATCCGTAAGGGTATACAATTCCTTTCTGAGTAGTATGAATGTTTCTGGGCTTTTTATTTTTGTATGATGTGAGGGAGATTAACAAATATTTATAGAAAACATCAAGATTAATTATTGAAAGGTATATTAAAATTCTGGCTGTGCTTTATAGCTCCAGTGAGGAAAAAAAAAAAAGCATTCTTTTCCTGATGGTTCCATATTTATCAGGATTCACAACTTCACAACCATGTTCTTTCAGCTTTCTTCACTGGAAGTCTTCTAGTACTCTGCATTTTATGGGGAATAATTTGACTCTCCAGAAAGTCCCTGTCCTAATTTGTTGTAGCTAAATTCCATCTTAATCTGTTTTAACAGCAGGCTGACTAGCCAGCTCTCTTTTTTGTATTTTTGTCTCTTTTATCATTCAGTCCATGAAACTGCTGCATTCTCAGATCTGGCCCCAGGGACTCCAGTTACAATATCCTCATGTCCTTGGCAACATCTCTCTGCACCTCCTTGGAATATTCTTACCATTAAAAATGATACCTCATATCCCTGCCTACCAGGTATATAAAAATCAGCAGTATTTAGCTTCCAATTTTAGATGTTCCAATTTAAATAATGAAATCATCTTTTCCCAAGGAATGGTAACATCACCGTCTTTCCCTGTGCCTAGGACTTGAGTTAGCAGCTGGAATGCTGGAGTCAGCGTTTCATTCCATGAGAGTGAATAACATCAGATCTCCAGAGATTTCTTAGCTGACCTTCAAAACACAAAGTCTAGCTTCCAGCAAACTTAAAGTAAACATATTTCTCTAGAGATTAGGATCAAAGTATAAGAAAAACATTCTACTTCACTGCGTGGCCCTCGTACCATTACTTATTTATTGGAGCAGGGATAAGTTGTGCTGGGAGAGACGAGATTCGTCTTTTTTGTTGCATTTTCTAATGATAAAAGTAGTTCTCAAGGGTTACCCATATTTTTGCCAAAAGGTTTGCAAAAAATCTTCATTCTTTTGCATACCATTGCTGCTTCATTCCCAAACATGGTCTTTTACAATGATTCATGGTCAAACTCTGAAGACTGTCTGATGAAAAGTTTTGGGCAACTTGAGCATTTTACTAGAGAAGCAGCCCAAAGACACCCTCCGGCTTTGACTCTGTTCTTGGGGTTATTTTATTAACTTCTCAAGCAATAACTCTCATCTGTAGAACAGGATTAATAGCACTTTGCTCCCCTATCCGTATAGGATATCCATAGGAGGATAATTACATTGCAAATTCAGTAGTTCTAAAGTATTACAGTAGTGGGTCTTGTTTGTGTACACAGCCTGGGCTTCCTGAACAGACTGACTTCCTGTGGGGAAAAAAGCAATAATCAAGAGAACTGCTTTTTAAAGAAAATTACTTGGAATGCAGAGTTTTTGTTAACTTAAAAACCTGATTGACATTCATTAGAATGAAAAAAAAGGATGTTTCTACAGATATGGGAAGCTATTTGTTGGAGAGCTTTGTGCAACAAAAATGCTTTATAAGTAACAAAACTTTTCATTAATATCCTGTTTGGGTTTTGCTCTTGCCACTTTTAGGCTGAGATGAAACTCTGTCAGGAAGCAGGAGTACTGATCCAGCAGGGAGGGTATCAGGAAGGTGGTTCACTCAGAGTTACCCTCCGAGGCAGTTCATAAATTTAATTCCCACTAGAAAAATACATGAAAATCCTCTGAAACCCAGTTTCAAGCCTGTCCTGTGACCTTGACTATGGAGCACAGTTAGCCACAAACACTCCTTGATTGTGTCCTTAGACACCAGTTTATACTTCTTCCCTGACACAGAGCAAAACGTGCAAAACTTAGCCTTGACTTTGGTCATGACTGTGATTGTGCATTAAATACACTGAGCTCTGCCTGTTTTTATATGTCATGTTCTGTAAATGTACAAGCTGATGGATGTAATTTTCTCATATAAATGGGTTTATTTGTTACACATTTAAATCTCTAACCTTAAGGAAATGGAAGTCCTGATTCAAGCCCTGTTATATTTTTCCAAGGATATCACACCAAACACATCAGAAATATTTTTAAGAAAGCATGTTTCCCACTGATCTGGGTTCCAGATTATTTTATTTCTTTACTACACCCTGACTGGGCTGACAGGGTGTGGTAATATTAAGGGCAGTAAGAAGTAAAATATACCAATTCAACTCTAAAGATTTTCAATTTACAGGAGTAACGAGTTTTCCAATCAAGTAATTACTTTTGGTCTGAAATTAGCATGACAGCCTTGCCCCCTGCCCTCTTTCCACTATTTTACTACTACACCTCTCAGGACAGATTAATAAATGCCTGACTTTATACACTGGTGCCAGTGGAAACCTGCAGTAATTGTTTTTTTTCTCACAGCTCAAACAACAATTTTGGTTTAGAGCTTACCAAAGCAAAAACCCAGAAAAAGATTTTATGCCTTTTTAAAGTTGAACCATGGGTATAAGACAGTCAGTGAGTGCATAAAAACAAAGTATGAGGGTGTAACTCTAGGTGGACTAGATGAAGGCTTTGTTATGGCTAAGAACTCTCTCAAATCTTGTCTTCTGAATGTCCTTCCTTATTCTCAGGATATGCATCTGGTTAAGAGAAACTAATTTGCCCTGTTATTCAAAGTGCAAAAATTTCAGCTGCCCAAAGTCACTGATATGTAAATATTTTAGGAGACCTTCCCCAGTCATTTTCAACTCTTCTAAAATTCATGATTGCTGGTGCTGGCTGCACTACACCCATTGAGTTTAATGAAGAATGCAACCCAACGAGCCCAGCAGATGATTTTGGGGTTGCTTCACTGTGAACTTTTTGGTTTCTTCTTCCTTCATTTCCAAGAATCAAGACCCAATTTTAGCAAAGTGATGATGATCCAACCAGCAATAAGGAGACTGAAATAAGTCTTCATCTTCGCAATCCTTAAAACATTCACTATCGCAGATCTATAAGCAGCTGAGGTTTGGATGCTTGTCCAAGCCTCTTTAGCCTGAAAAACTGAAGGATGGGAAATTCATATAACTGACTCTCAATAGATTTGTGGTATTTCCTGCATTTGTCTGGCACAGAAATATAAACTATTTCACATTATTTTGGTACTGGCAATGTGGAATCCAATATAGAAATAAAGAAATATGTAAGAAAAAACAATCTTTTCCAATAATAACAAGGAAAAGTTTCTTTGAGTTCTGATTTTGTTTGACTTATTATTTAGTTTATTTTTCTTTATATTTCACTCTTGCTCTCCAGGGGTATTTGTGTGACCTTACAATGCCACAAATATTAGCAGCACAGTTGAGATAATACAAAAAACAGCAATGTATCTTGGAATCCCTTGTCTTCCTTCCATTGGGTCAGGTAGATATGGGGGTGTTTTGAAAAGAAAGGAACAAGCACAAAGACAGGAGTATTAAGAGAAAGTTAGGAGCACACTACAAAGTGCCTGCCTCTTCTCTTTGGCCTTTTAACTCCTCAGATGGTTTCATTTCTGAATTATTGCTTCTATCTCCATTACCCAATTTCTGGATGAGCCATATTTCAGAATCCAGTATATTATGCTCACAGTGCCAGTAGTTTTATGTAGAGAATGTGAATTTGGCTTCATTTTCAGGTGTCTGACCTGGAACAGTGTTAGAATAAGCTGAAGCAGCCCTCTTGCTCCCCATCATGTAGGTGATACAATTCACAGCATATATTGTTAAAGGCTACCATTTTATTATTGAACAAGCCAGCATTAAGAAATCCTGGGCACTGCAAATGACCAGGAAATGCCTGTCTAACTTTCACAGGTAATGCAGCATTACTTAGTATTTGAACAAGCATCATGCACTGAATTACAAGATTTTTCCCTCTTTTGCAGACCACATGGAGAGCCCCAGCAGGATGACCAGCAGTCACACAGAGTGCCATTTCTGCCTGCAGTCTCTCCGTGGCAGGAAATACGCGCTAAGAGAAGAAAATGCTTACTGTGTTCCGTGTTACGACAGCCTGTACGCCAACCCCTGCGAAGAGTGCAAGCAGCCCATTGAGTGCAACTCCAAGGTAAAGATTTAGCTTGCACTGTTTGTTCCTTGTTAAATTATACACAAATCCAATTGCTTTAATGGTAGGTGTGATACCCACCCCTTTGCATATCCCTGTATCACTGAAGAGACCTAAGCATGGCTCACTGAAGAGACCTAAGCATGGCTGTTGTACATCCACACACAGCAGAGTGAAACAGCACTATTTTCCCTGAATAGGAAAGCTCTAGGATCAAAGATGAGGAAATCTGCACATGCATATACTCCAAGCATGCAGCAAGGCTGTGGTGTATGTGTGGACCTCAGCTGGACTCCATCCTTCACCTCCAGTCACTCACTGGCTGCAAAGGCTGCACAGTGCTGGAGGGGTGATAGGGTGGGTGGTGTAATTCAGTGTATCAGGCTGATTGACACCTTGGAATTTCTGAGACGTGTTCATTGAAAAAATATTTTGAGCATTGAATAAATTACTTTTATTGTAGGTGTTGACAAGCAGATGCCAAGCTGAGAAGACAACATGTTTATCGTTTGCATATTCTCTCTCTCTCTTTTGGAAATTAAGGGGGTTTTTTATTTCTTCTTTATTTCTGCTCATCTCACAGATGGTGTATTAGTGGCAGTGCTTCTGACCTTGTCTTTCCTTTTACCTCGCCATTTTTTACAATATTAATTAATAATTCAAGTTCCTCTGTGGTCTTTGACAGCTTTTCTAGTGCCCTATATTTCAATTTAGAGGATGTATACTGGACATTGAATTTTAAGGTCAAATGAAACCTATCAAAAAGCATTTGTTTTGTCAAGTCCAGTGTGTACTGGTCACCTTCTCCCATGCTCTCTTTGCCTATGTTTCTTAGAAATAAAAGGACAGAAAAATATTAAAATAAACCTCTTGGAAGGCTTTCCGAGCCCAAGCACTTCAAGGTACATAGTCTGCATACAGGAATCATCCAAGGAAAATGCTGATTTGGATGAAGACACTCTTCAAAGTCTCATCAGCATTTCACCCACAGCAATATGCTATGAACACATAGCACCCATCAGATTAACCAGGAGAACACACACTTTGAGTTCACTTAATTTCACTTTTAAAATTAAAAATTAAATCAGTGACAGGATTACTGTCGTTGAAGATCATAAACAAAAAGCCACGTCTTTGGACTGAGTGGAAGGAAAAAAATGCGAGAAAAAAGCAGACATGGTAAGAAAGGAGGGCATCTGGCTAGAGACATCTAGAAAAGTGGCACACAGAGATCTACAGCTGATTGTCTCACCTCTGCCAAGCGGCTAGAGCTTGGTTTTCTTCCTCTCCTCCTCACCCAGTCCTTACTTCGGGCTGCTCTGTGTTGACAGCCCAGTTCCTGCAAAGTTCAGAGTGCTAACTAAAGTAAATGAAAGTCGTAGGTGCTCAGCACCTCCTGAAATGAAGCATGATAGTTCTTTTATTTTTAGCTCTTTAAAAGGCAGGGACATGATCAAGGAGAACAATAAGATTGGACATGTGCCCTTTTATGTTTCTTACTTTAAAAAGAGCACTGGAAGGGTTTATTTTTTATGCTGGGAAGGATTTTTTGAGGTGCGTTTTTCCCTTGGTTTTCTAACTGTGGGAAAATTAAATCTGCTGTTTGGTCTTTCTTTGAATTCTTAGTCAGGATCTCGTGCATATATTGTTACTCTTTCATATACATATAAATTGTTAGCTCTTTCATCTCTTAAGCCCACTGACTCTTAAACTTTTTTCTGTCAGGTTTTCAGGAGGATTTATATCAGATGTAAACAAAAGCAATGATTTTTTTTTTTAATATTACTAACAATCGTTTTGTTCTCAATGACATTTTAATTGCTTGTTTTCTGACAACTGTTAGAATTATGTCATGTCAGCTGGAAGAAGAAGTAGTAACATTGAAAATACATAAGGTTAATTTCAGATTGTATAGAATCCCTCCAGATTGAGAGATTATATAGATTGTGTAGAATCTGTTTCCTCGCCAGTGGTCTGATGATCACTAAAAATGATCTAAAAATGTTGATCACTTGTTTCCCCTTGAAAGACAACTGTAATATATAACGTGATTCTTCCAATAAAAAATACCTCTCTGTTACATAGGGAAGGACATTCTGCCAAAGCAGCTCCTAATGGCCTCTGAAAGAGATCTACACAACACTGTGACATTGAGTACTTACACCTTTCCTGAGCACACTTCTGGTTGGATCCACCACTGCAATGTTCTTCGTTTTTTGTTTTAGTTCTGGAAGGAACTGAAGGATAAAAGCACTGTAAATAAATGTTTTCATTAACATTAACTTACTTTCTCCAAGGATCTGGCCTACAAAGGCCGCCACTGGCATGAGGGGTGCTTCAGGTGTGCCAAGTGCAGTCGCTCACTCGTGGAGAAACCATTTGCTGCCAAGGACGAGGTCTTGCTGTGTACCGAGTGCTACTCTGATGAGTATTCATCCAAGTGTTTTCACTGCCAGAAGACCATTATGCCTGGTAAGACAACAGGGGCCCTTTGCTGAGGAATGCAATTAGCAATCTTGAAAATTCTGCACTTTCCACTAAGATGCTTCTCAGCTTTTGATTGTGTCTGTTCAGGACACGCTCTAGACTTTTCGTTGCCACCACACCAGTAAAGCCCATACAGCAGAGTGTTTACCCAAAAGCTGCCTCTTCACAGGCATCCGAAAGAAGCCACAGCACCATTTGTTGCAAAAGGAAGCTGCTTGCTTAGGAAAGTTGTCCCTAACTTTTGGAACAGAGAACATCAGTAAATTTGGCAGTGACATTAGAATTTTATTTTTCAGTATATCTTAATGCCAAAGTAAGATCCAGGCTGTGCAAAATTATAGTCTTACTATTGGCACTAGATTACTCAGGTTGTATTCAGCCTGTAGCACCAGTTTGTGTTTTTACAGTTTGTTTCCTTTTCATTACAAGTAAAATCTGCATTAGTGGAAACAAATATTGTAACGATATAGTTATGTTCATTTCAAGGATTATAAATGGCTTAAATTGTATGTAATTTACAAAAATATTGTTAAATAGGCACACCTCACTAGATGTGATTAAAAAAGTGCCAGAATACACTCAGGTTTGCATTATTATCTTCTGGTGTATTTCCATGCTGCTTGCTTTGTCACAGCGTCTAAATCCTTGCAGCAAGTGCCCAAAGGTGTCGGTGGCATGGGAATGCCAGCCAGTCTCTTTATCATTAACTTCCTTCTCATCAGCTTGCTAGCTCTGTGTTGAAGAGATCTAGTTGTGAAATTGGCTTTCTGATCACTGGGATGAAGCTGCAAACCTTTTGTGTCGGAATACAACCAGTAGTTTCTCCACTGGCCCCACAGTTCAAGAAACAGGTACAGTGGGATTAATCAGATATAGCAGAAATCCTCTTCTTCATGTGGAAAGGATGGTAAAGCACCTTGCACGTCTCTGTGCAGTCTTATGCTACCTACAGATAGGAAGTTGAAGATGGAGATCCACTGGAAAAATTGCTCCCAGATATATGTGCATATCTTAGACTTATGTTTCTATATCAAGATAAGACACCTGTAAACAGAGATAAAAGCTCTGAGACTCCTCTGACAAACACTTAACTGAGCAACTTTCTGTCCTTTCCTGTATCAAAAGCATCTAGTTAAACATGATAAAAAGAATTGTTGGTCTAGGATAGAAATGGTGAGCTGTAGGAGAAGGCAGTGTAATGTGCTGCATCACAGAAAAAATATTTACTTTTTAAAAGTTGCCAATTTAAGCTGATTAAGATAAATAATGCATTTATAAGTAAAGGAGCCTTAGTTTAAGAAAGATAGAAGACAGGCCAATAATAAATGTACTAAACATCCAACAAATTGTTTTCTAATTTATAAAATTGCTTTGTACCTGAACATTATCACTGAGTTGGCTGGTTTGAGAGAAACTGAGCAATTCAAGCATAATCACAAAGAAGAAACCCCCAAAAAAATCATATAAGAACAAACTAAAAATCACAGCTTAGGCAATTCAGCACGTCTTTTGCCAGATGAATATATGGAACTGAATGTATTCTTGAAATTTCAAGTGTATTCTTAGAGGCTCTGGATAACTGCTTTCTTGGGTAATCCAATGCTGATGTAGACGGTTCAAAACAAGACCATTCCCAACATCTAAAACTTGTATTACAAGGCTATATCTGAGAGGATTGTTGACTTTGGTTTTTTTCAGGTTCACGTAAAATGGAATTTAAGGGAAGTTGCTGGCATGAATCCTGTTTCGTTTGCCAGTATTGTCGGCAACCATTGGGAACAAAACCATTAATCACCAAAGACAATGAAAATTACTGTGTGCCCTGTTTTGAGAAGCAATTTGCTCACCATTGCTATGCTTGCAAAAAGGTAATTAAACACACAATACAAAAAAATGCCCTAGTGAGGCAATATTGCTCTTGGGAGAAAGGGCTGGATGGTGTAGATTTAAGAGTAAAATCAGAGTCTTCCCATTGACACTGGACGCTGAAAGGCAACTGTGACAGTGTCTGCTGTCCACTCTTGTTCATGTAAGACTAATTATATCTGAAATAATCTTATTTGCCAAAACAAATGCTTTGTGCTTCTTTAGTCATTGATTGTGATTTTTAGCAAAGTTTAAATGGAAAGTTATATAAAACCCTTCTTTCCTGAAAATCTCTGATTTTGTCTTTGTAAACATACCTCTCTTTCCATCATTTTTCAGATGTATTCATATGAATAATTAGCCACCTGAACTGAGCAAATAATCCACAATATTGGCATTTTTTTTCTTTAAATGTATCAGGCAATTAGCAGATCAAGTAACATGCAATTGTGATAACACTAGTCAGGATTCCCACTGATGCAATATGTAATGATACCCTTGTGGGTACCAGAAATCTTGATTTGATTTCCTTTTTCCCCCAAGTACAGATAAATCAGTTCTTCCTTCTTTTGACTTCTCATGTTTTAAGATTGTATCTTGTTCATGAAAATACTCAAAGCATCATACTATCTAGTGTGATACTTTTCTCTAGGGAAATGTTTTAAGCTGTTTTTAAGGGCAGAATTTTACTTATTCTTTAGTACCTGCATCACTCTGGAAGCTTTTTTTTTTTTTTTTACACTTCATCAAATAACTTATAATTTCTGGTAGTTATGTAATGATTACCTGTAAACCTCTACTTCTAACAAAAGCTTATAATTTCGGAAAATATTCTGTCTGCTTTTTTCTTCAGTAGTTGAACTTTAGAAAGTGCTTTTATATATTCCCAAGTCTCTACATCTAGCCTTTAACTTGCATTAAATGAACACATGGCAATTATAGTAATTATGCTCAATGTTTATTACAGGCATTGATATTAGCACCACCTACATGAATAATCAGGATTTGCTTCTTAAAAATTCTAGGAATTAAAATAGTCCCCCTACATAATAGCTAAAACCATTTTATTCCTGAAACTTGCATCAATTCCCATACCTGAGAATTGAGCCCAAATAGATTAAATTGCCAAACTGAATCTTGAATATTTGTCAGCAATTTTTAGATTTTATGGAAAAGCAAACATAACCACAAAATAGCCCAAAACTGGAATGTTTAAGGGATTGGAAATTATTTAAATCACTATTTCTTGACATGACCCTATATTATTCTTGATTTTCCTGAAACTGTATTCCCCAAGGAAATTTAATGATACTACTATTTTTACTTAAGTTTTTTCAACCTTTTCTCCTCCTGTTCCAGCAGTATTCATTCATTCATTCATTCATTCATTCATTCATTCATTCATTCACTTATTCATTAATTCCCTGTCATGCATGTGACTTGATAGTAGAAACACTGTCTTACAGCTCATCCTTATAGCAATTTCTCTGTACAGGCTCTCACAAATTTCATGAAACCAGCTCTTTACCACACATATGGGAGACACTAAGCAACTCGAAATTTCCCTCTTCAGAAATAACCAGTGCAGAGCTGTGAGTGTATTGCTGGCAAACAGAAGTTGATGACACTGATAAACATTATTTTTTCCTTCTTCTGACCGTGTAGACCTCCATTCTGTTTTACTTCTGCTTCTTTTCTGTCTTTCTTCCTGTTTAAAATACAGTTGCACTTGAGAGACAGCAAAATCCTGGTTGGAGATTAACTATTATCTCAGCATCAGTTCTCTCACCCACTGCCTATCACTGAGAATTTATCTTCTGAGAGCATGCCTGATTCTAAACATTTATCTACAGTATAATAGAAAAATTTCATTTAAAGATAACATATTTATTACAAATTATGAGGTTATACTGTGGTAGAAAATTGAAGAAAAAAAAAAACCAAGTAGCATATGGAATTCAACTGCAGATTAGTTAAATGGATAATCCAGATGAAAAAAAGTTGATGTGACCACACTCTCTTCTCTTGTGCATGTTGGAAGAGAGAAAACAAGTGGAAATACTTATGAAGGATAGGACAATACTTCATGATTCACACCTCTGTTTCTTTGCTCTGCCTTTGTTTGTCAATACATTAGGTTATAACTTCTGGAGGAGTGGCCTACCACGACCAGCCTTGGCATAAAGAATGCTTTGTGTGTGCTGTGTGTAAAACTCAGCTATCTAGACAAAGATTCATTTCCAAAGATGAGTACCCATACTGTGTAGACTGTTTCAGCAAATTTCATGCCAAGAAGTGTGCTGCTTGCAAGAAACCTATTGCGGGTGAGTCTTGTCTTCTAGAGGGGACCAGACAGAAATGAATCATCAGTCTCCCCTCAAAGACTTTCACTTTAGGAAAAAAAACCCATTAAAATTACTTCCATCATAATGACAGACTGAAGGAGTGAACTATCAAAGAGACTCTCTCTGTGTCACATGTCCTGTACCTTGCTAGGACATACTGATCACACGTGTTCTCTAACAGATGACAAGTGGTTTTTTGTGCCCAAAGGCATTGCTTGATGTAGTGTTTTCTGTATAAAATTCCTCCTTAAGAATATTTCAAAAGGTGCTTTTTTTTGCTCTTCCCAGGACAGTACACACAAGCCCCTCTGTGATTTCTTCAGTTTTGTTTTTAAATGCAAATGTGGTCAAACTGAACACAGATTAACTGCCTGCTGGTAAGGCACACCTGTCAAATTAGAAAGCTTGCCAAATGCAGCAGAGCTCTATTTTATGAATCCTTGTATACTTATATATGATTTATAATTAGACATGTGTGTCACTGGTCTATGATAGCTGGAGTTTTCTGAGAGCATTTGCTGGTGTTCTGCACTTTAATCCTATTATGTGTGGAGTCAGCTGTTGAAAAGTACTTCCTGATTCTTACAGGTGCATGCTGCATATGTAATTGGACAAAGAAATCAATGAATACCCAATCACATGTGCATGATTTAAAAAGTACCCAAACTACAAAACAACAACAACAAAAAAAACCCATCAAAACTGTTCAAATTCCATCAATCTTCAAGATTTTATTTCAGATAATTCTTCGAGGAATATCATTATCTGGTAATTTCCAAAAGAATCCATCTTGAAGAAATTTAATTATTAAATTCCATTCAGAGTTGTATAGAAACTATACAAATATTGTAAATAACTTCCATGAGAGCTTGTTGGGAAGATCAACAAACCTGAATGGACATTCTGATAAACCCATTGTGTTCAGATCTCATAATGGAATATGCAAGCAAGTGACTTGTGGTTTTGCTTTAAATATTACCCACTGTTTAAATTTTAAAGATACTTTTCAATTCAGCCAATGAAGATTATTTCACATTATGGATTTTTGTTCATTTTTCCAGTCCCTATATGAATGACACCCTGATCACACATCAGAAAGTCATCTGTTGCATTACTGAACCATGTCCAGAAATACTGGATTCAAATATTTTTTTTCTTTTTTTCATACTCTCTTTCAGCTCTTGGAGGTGTCAAATACATCTCATGTGAGGAGCGTCAGTGGCACGGGGAATGCTTTATCTGCGCGAAATGCTCTGTCTCCCTGGTGGACCAGGAATTCCTCACTCTGCAGAATGACATCCTCTGCCACAAATGTGGCTCTGCTTTATAGTTCTGTGGAAAGCTGTACAGCTGCAGTATTTTCACTCTGTAGCAAGGTAGTTCATTGGTCTGTTGTAAGAAAACCAGATAAAAGGTACTACAATTATTTTGTAATTCAAGTAACTTTCCAACAGCAGTTTAACGTCAATGCTTATAAACAAAAATTAAACAACTGCTCCATACTTGTTAATAGAACAGTGCAGAAAAGACTTGTATATATTTTAAGGCTAACTCCAGTATGTTTTCCTTGTAACACACTGCACTCTGCTGTTAGAAGCTTAAAAATTTATCTTTTATCACCTCTGAACCAAGAAGGATTGTGAAACGTCTGTTTGGCCTATGAATAATGATGAGGCATTAGCACTGATTCACAGATGCCGATCTTGGCATGGAAAGTTAGGAACAAGCATTTTTCTCTTGGATCATAACACTGAAGAGAGCACCTTGTAAGTATTATATTCTTCCATACTTTGGGCAAAAAAGATGCTGACAAAGCAAGCAGAAATCGTGAGTAGGAGATGCTTCCACATTGAGGAGCACAGAGTCAGAAAGGCCCATTCCAAGGGCCAATTCAATGGCAAAAAGGTCACTTTCCTTCCCTTACTGGGATTGCTACCCAAAGAAGTCACCCAAAATACTACAGCACAGGTCCTTTCCCAAAGTTGGGTAACTGTACTTAATTTTTTAGGCATATCTGCTCTAGAACATAAATAAACCCATATTTTCAGCTACTGCTAGAGGTAAGGAATGCCCAAGATTGAATAGTGCTGATGTACATTTTCCCATAACTAATATGCCTTAAGACTCTGTTTCCACTATTTTTGCTATATCTTCAAATATAGGCCCAAATCATACTTTTTTTATTAGTTGACTCGAGCCAACTCATAGTGGTCCATTTAACCTTGTCCTTTCCTTCATTCAAAACTGCTTTGCCAGCAACTGAAGCCCTGTTAAGGACCTTACCTGCTTGGTCTTTGATTCACAGTTGATTCCTCTGCTTGTAAATTCCTGCTTGTGGACAGCAGGCTATCAGCTCTCCAGAACCAATTCCTGGTTCATTTCACCATTAGCCACATGTGTTTTTTAACAGTATGTCAAGAATTAGTAATTGTCATTGCAAGCCAGGCAGCTCTTGCTTGGAGTACAGGGTCTCAGTTTCTAAGGAGCCAGCCTTTATATCTGCTTGCTGAGCTCCAGCACTCAAATGTCTGCTATGAAAGGTCATCTAGAGCTGAGTTACAAACATCTGTCTGCCTCCTTCTTCCACAGTGTGTGTTGCAGTGGCCTGGTTCCTGTACTGGGCCATTGTGGATGGAGCAGTGATGTTAGGAATGGCAGGTTCTGCACTGTCCAGCACAGTTTGAATTTCATCTCAGATGTCTTTAAGTCATTCTTTTTCAGACTCTGAGTGCATAGAGTTATCTGGCTGACTTGAGTTGCCTTTATTCATATTGAAGACAGCCATTATTTTAGGTAGAAAAGTGGAAAAAAGGGAAGAATATGTGTGCATGGCTAAGCCAGAGCCAAAGTGCAGTGGCATAAAATCAGTATGGGTAATGACTGACCAATGAGTACATAGCAGTGTGTTGTCAGTCAATAAGATATTGATCTTTTGCTCTATGTGGTGTTAATTTTTGGTTTTCATTTTCTTCTTTCATCGCAGCTTTTATTGCAGTCTAGAGTTTGATTAGTTTATGTTTTTCATTTTATCCCAGCTGCTTCCTTTTCTATTTACACATCTCCCATGACTGACACAGGTTCTTGGTAAGGCTTAGATTCCCATAAATAGAAATGTGCTTCATTGCCTTATATGTATAAATACATATATATATATATACACACACACAAAACATAGTGGTTCGCAGTTATGTATGACGTTCTAAAAATTTGCACTGAGATATCAGAAATTAGTAAATGCTAATGGTCTTAAAATTTTAAATTAAAATGATGAATCACAATATTCGGGCTTGTCTGTGGGGTGTACCTTTTGTTTGTCTGTGTGAAATTACATTCAGCACTTCTCAAGAATATGGTTTGCACCCTTTATTCTGTCTCCTCTGAAGAATCATGCATCTTAATTACAAATTGATGCAGGAATTACCAGGCAGCCTCCTAAGACATGAGAGAGTCACAGGTCAGACACACTGATCATGATAATCCCAGTCTTCCAGCCTTAACATTTATGAAAATTGAATTCTTCTCTGACTCATCAGCTAATTATATTTTTAGAAATACCAACTGAATTATGTATCTCTTCTGCAGTAAATACAGTACAGTCAAACCTGACACTGAGCATTTTCACTTCAGAAAAATAGTAAGAAATAAATATGATTGCTATAAATAGTCTGAATAAAAGTTATATCAGATACAAATTGCTGTTTCCTAGTCTCTGTCACCAGATACCTGGTGTCTGAGTATAAGTACATATATGTATATATGAGTACAAATATGAGTATTTGTGAGTATAAATGCCTGAATATAAGTACAGTGACAGTCTGGTGGTGGGCTGACCCTGGCTGGACACCAGGTGCCCACAAAAGCCCCTCTGCAATTGGACAGGGGAGAAGAAACACTCCTCAAGGCTCATGGATGAAGATAAGGAGAGAGAGACATCTCTCAGCAATTACTGTGACAGCAAAATAGTCTTGACTTGGGGAAAAAAATTTATTACCAATCAAATCAGAGTGAATAATGAGAAATAAAACAACATTTCAAAAACACCTTTTCCCCACCCCTCCTTTCTTTTCAGGCTTAACATGGCTCCTGAATTCTCTAGCTGCTTCCCCCCAGAGATGCAGGGGGACAGGAAATGGGGTCTGAGGTCAGTTCATCACACATTGTCTCTGTTGTCCCTTCCTCCTCAGCAGGAGAACTCCTCACACTGTTTCCCTGCTGCACATGGGGTCCCTCCCACAAGAGACACTTCTCCATGAACTGCTCCAATTGGAGTGCCTCCCACAGGCTACAGTTCTTCAAACGCTGCTCTTGTGTGGGATCCCTCACATGGAGTGCATCCCTTCAAGAAGAGGCTGCTCCAACGGGTCTCCCATGGGGTTGTAAGTCCTGCCAGAAAATCTGCTCCAGTGTGGGCACCTCTCTCCACAAGTCTACAAGCCTTGCCAGGAGCCTGCTCCAGCACAGGCTCCCTACAGGCCACAGACTCCTTTAGGCACCATGTCTCTGGCATGGGCTTCTCCAGGGGCAGAAAGCAGATACCAGCTCCACCATGGACCTCCATGTGTTGCGGTGGAATCTGCTCTGACACCCAGAGCACCTCCTCCCCCTCCATCTTCACTGACCTTGGTGTCTGCAGAGCTATTTCTCCCATGTGTCCTCACTCTTCTCTTTGGCTGCTGTTTCCACAGCCATTTTCCTTCCTCCCCATCCTTTTCCAATCTGTTATCCCAGAAGCTCTACCAGTATCCCTGATGGGCTCAGCTGTGGCCAGCAGTGGGTCCATCCTGCAGCCAGCTGGCATTGACTCTGTCAGACACAGGGGGAGGCTTCCAGCAGCTTCTCACACAAGGTCCTCCTGGAGCCCCTTGATACCAAAACCTGCTCACACAAGGGAACTCTGCACAGTTTGGGTCTTTTATACTTTATGTAGATGAAACCAGCTTGAATAGGTGCAGAGAAGGGCAGTGGGAGGAGCAGCGTGTCTCCGTGGAGGACTGCAGACCATGAAGGGGATAGCTGGCTACGCTAAGTGAGGAGACTACATTTGGTTCAAGAACAATGACAACTAAACTCCTCAGCACTGGAAACTGGAAATTAGAAGGTGATGTCTGCTGCTTTCCAGAACAAAGAGGGAAACAGCCATGTGGGCAGTTTTAAAGAGATGCCTGATGGGTGTGTTAAATGTCATATAGAACATGATTGCCTGGTATAGAAAAATAATGAGAAAAAATCAACTTGATGATCAGCTTCAGTCTGTGTTCCTAACATTGGATTTACTGCAGGATAACCAGGATACAGACTCCAGCACAATTCAATTTTCTTTAATAAACTTTGAAGGATAGAAAATTTGAGAGATTTATTTTACAGTAAGTTTTTAAATGTCATATGTCTTTCTTTAACATTGTACTGTTTAATTTTAAAATATATCTAGTTCTTCCCTGTGTATGTAGCAGCCCAGCTCTAAGATAATTACATTGCTTTTGTTACAATCAAGCTAAATTACCCTGAGGTGATGTCTCTAGTGCCTTGATCACATCTCTGCTGTACTCATATTTATCCCAGGGGACCAAGAGGGAGGCTGCCTTTTGGGATTAACTAAGAATGAATAGGTGCCCTATTACCTCCCTCAATATTTCAGGCTAAAGTTTAAGTTCCTCAGCCATTGCCTGATTGTCAGAGAACTCCCTGAGACAAATGTGCTTAAAATACAGAGACAAGCCCCAAGGCATTGTCATCTCGTGACCCTTCTCTGTCCATATTTCTGAATGTCACATTTTTTACTCTGGAGCAAGGTCATGTTATGAGAGCAAGGTATCAGCCTTTTCTTGGACAATTACTTTTAAAATCCAGGCAAGTTTTTGGTAGATGTTTTGGCAGGCGACACAGAGCTGTAGTAATGTTGGAACCCAGGACGACTCCAGAGTCATGGCTTATGTCTGTGATGAAACCCAGAGGTTTTTCATTCTCTAACCTTGTGACCTAGTTCTCCAGTGAGAAAATGTGTGGGTCTAGACTGGGGAAGAGCTAGGATATAGCCTGGCCATGTCAGTGGAGTGGATGTCACACCAGTTTTTCTGCAGTATCTCAGCACATGCAAGTCCAGCTGGCCCTTGTACTCTGCCAGTGGACAGGTAGCAGGTTTTCTTCATGCTGACCATGGCTCACTGCTGGCAGAGCAGCTTTATGAAGGGGATGATGAGGTTTTGCAAGGAATTCTAAACTTGTGGTTTCAAACACTTCCTGGGCCAGGCCTGTCACAAGAAGGGCTGATGGGGAGTGTCTGTGAGTGTGTACATGCTCAACCCCGATGAATTGACCAGCAACTTCAGCACCTGCTCCAAGGTTTTATGAATCTCACTTGATTCCATAGAATGGGTGTAGAGCACTATTTTAGGAAGTAAAAATAGTGATCTTTATACAATGACAGATAACAATAGGTGAAGGAAAGTAATGTTAAATGACTGCCTAAGTGAAAACTGAGAGATCATTTCTGTAAACAAAAAAATCTGGATGAAATCCAAATGCATAGCCAGAGCAAACTTGTTTACCAATCAAGCAGGAAAGGTACAATAAATTATCTACATTCTTGTTAATAATATCTCAAAGAAAACACGTGTATGTGCATCGATGCTTGTTCACCCTAGAACTGCCAAAGCTTGAATGGACTGACTTAGGGGAAACTTGGCAATTTAAACAAAAGTACAAAATTCCTAGCATGGCTATAGACTACTATAACCACAACGTTTCAGTTCATTGTATTCAAAAGTACCATTATCTTGACCAGAAGTACCAGGTACAAGTAGTTCAATACAAGATATAAAAGTACCAGGTATGAGTTGTTCAATACAAGAGATAAGTGCTTTGGAGGACAGACATGTTTGCACTCAGGGACATAACACTGGTATGTTATCCAAAAGGCAATACACAGCTGCAGTGGAGGATCTAGAGATATCAGCTTTGGCCTGGATCATTAGGCTTTGCTTAGTTTGTTTGCAAGAATATTTGTCCAATAACATCCACTTAAACATTTCTGTAGGCTTTCATCTGCATTTTTTAGCCAAATTCTTACTGGAGATTCTTGAAGATGAGGCCAGACATAAGCACAGTCACATAGACCTGCACGATGCCCATAAGAACCTAGATTTTCTCAGTGTAAACCAATTCCATGTCAGAAGAACTATTGCACAACATTATATCCAAGCTAATAAACCTTATCTCTGTCTTGAATATAATTCAATATCTGGTTTTATTAACTTGAGTCTCTGCTACATTTTTTAATGTCCTCTCCAGTAAGATATTCAAGACTGTAGGCACTGACCTAATTCAGTGCAGATTTTTCACAGCACCAACTGAGTTCTAAGTTATTGAATACAAGAAGTTGCACTACCACCACATCCCTGAAAAACAGGAGCCATGAATCCCTTTCATGCATGATGTGTGTGAGGCTGTGAGAACAAATCACATTAAAACAAACACAAAAACCCCACTCAGCTCCTTTCTGTAGCCTGGGCACAGATACAAAAGCATGAAAATATTCAGATAAATCATTTATAGAGCAAGCAAAGGAGCATGGCCTCAGACGTTTCAGGAACTGTCAGGCAGAAGATTACCTAGCAAAATCAGGAAACAACTGAACAAGTTTTTTGGGATTGAGATGTTTCACTCAAGTGTCTCGGTGCTCTCTCAAGTCACTTCTTAGCTCACACCCAGCACCTCATGTCCTAACTGTCCTCAAGGGCATTCTCATCATTTTCACTTGTGACCAGCACAGCAGACCACTGCAACAGGATCTCAGTTTGGCACAATGACTCAACCTCAGAAATCTCATGGGTGACTCATTCAATAGAGGATAGGCCCAGCTGGAGGTAACAAAAGTCCCACCAGCCTCAGATAATTGCTCACATTTAAACACCAGTGCTCATCTTAATAGTACTTTCATAACAAAGACGTACTTCAGGTAGATGTATCCAAATTGTTCCTGGATGAAAGTCCTCATTTAACATCTTCATTTTCACCTTGGATTCTGGAATAACTTTTGCTAGACTTAGTATCAAATAAATAAATAAAATCTTTTCCAGCTAAGCCCAACTTGCCTGGATTAAAAAAACTACAGTGTGAAGTAATGCAAACAGTTTATCCAGTTCTGCTGCTGAGCTGCATTTTTTGTTGTTTTTTCCCAAAGGGGAAAAAAAAAATAAAAAAAAATAAAAAAAAAAAAAACTACTTATTTCTTGAGAACAAGATCTTTATTTATAAAAAAAGTACATCAAGCTCTTAGTCAAACATTTTCATTGGAAGGACAGCAATCTGAGTAGAAATTTATGGCTATGAATGCAGATGACCTTAAAAGGCTACTAATATGAAGAATTTCTCACAATAGCCATCTTATTCCCTGACAGCTTGATTATTTTTTAATTGCTACAGAATTCTTATTGTAATCTTAACTCTCTACTCACTGCAAAGTAACGCCCCCCGACTGACTGGGGGCAATGTCTGTTATTGGTTACCAAGGTCTTTGATTCAGGGTATGTTTCCACTTGCCCTTAAAACAGTCAATGTCAAATGCTTTGTGCTGAGCCCTGTGCCAGACTTTCTCAGGCCAGGTCCTGCTTTCTTCTTCACGTTTTTGCTTTTCAT